TTCGAATGGTTCGTGACTTATGTACTCTGGAAAGTACTTATAAGCTTTTGATGGACTAATGAATGATCGCGTACTACCTGTATCAATCATAAATTTGGAGTCGATTTCCGGTATATAAATAAACGGCAATCTCAAATTAGTACTACAATTTAACTCTATTTTTTCGTGGGTTCCGAGGCTTCGACCTGAAAATCCTTGTCGTCCATATTGGTTGGGACGCCATGTGTTACTTCAGGAATTATTGTCGGATATTCATTTTCATAATAATCGAGCTCGGGGACATTAAGGCCACTGCTTGAGTACTCCTCATAGCAGCAGTTATCATAAGAAATTGGGTACACATCGCCGCACGCATCATCGTAATACGTATTATCAAGGTCGAGTTCATTTAACTGAAAGCCTTGTTGATTTGTTTTAAGGGGTGGTGCCGTTCGCATTGTGACGTCACTGGGCCCAGTGTATTGATTTTTATTTAACTGAGGCTTGTAACCAAATTGTTGGGGCTTATAAAAGTTTTGTTGTTGGTTTCCAAATTGTTGTGGGCGCATACCAAATTGTTGTGGGCGCATACCGAATTGTTGAGGTTTATTAAATGTTTGTGGTTGCATTCCGAACTGTTGGGGACGCATATTAAAGGCCTGTTGCGGGCTTATACCAAATTGTTGCGGGCGGAAGCCAAATTGTTGTGGGCGGTATCAAAAATTATGTTGATTATTATTAAATTGAGGTAATTTTGATTGTGACCCCTGCGGAAGTCCAAAGTTAAATTTGTTAGGGGTTAATTCGGGTTTATAGCCCATTGGTGCCATTGAATTAAAATTATTTGTACCGAATTTTAACATAGGGTTATTATTTGGTAAACTGGATGGCGTTGGTTTATTACTAGGATTACTATACATTTTATTACGCAAGGTATACTGCTCATGGAAGTTGACTTCTTCCATGACCACGCTTAAAGCCTCTTCTAGTGTACTGGGCGCTTTTAAGCGAACAATTCGCACCATATTTTCTGGCAAATTATACAAAAAGACATTTAAAGATGTGTTATTATATATAATAATTTTGCTACTCATTACATTCGGATCGGTTAATCTATTTACTTTCGATATTAAAACACTACGAACGGATTGGATCCTATTACAGAAATCTAAATACGACTCGTTGTTTCGGATACGCAAACCTTCAAGTTCTATAGCAACACATTCTTCACTCCTAGGGTCTCCAAAATGTTGAATTAGCAGTTCTCTAAAATCTTCCCACGTATTAATGTCCTCACGCTCGCTAAAGAGCGATGCAGCGTCGCCTACGAGTCTACTTGTTATCGCGTACATTACGTATAAATTTTGTTCATCGGATCCCCTATATTTATTTAATATATACTCACATTTGCGAATAAAAAGATTTAATTGGTGCTTATCACCGCTAAATATCGGTACAATTTTGAGCATTTCATTAAGAATCATCTTAATTTGTACTTGATCCATGTCCATTTTGTACAACTTTATTTTATAAAATACGGCGATAAAATAATACAATTAATATAAGAATTCAAATTCCCAATCAAAGACACAGTCAAAGTAAAAGTCAAATAATTAATAAGTAAAATACACAATATGAAATAAATAAGTCTTCAATAAAAATTTAATCAACGAACATACACTACAATTACAATTTGTAATAGTTATAATCGCTTTGTTCCCACAGTGCAAGCTCTTATCGCGTCGTTATTGCATGGACGCGCTTACTTATCTTATTCGTAGTATTTCTTTATGCAGTTAGTTATTAAGTTTAAGTATTCTTAAATATAAGCTTCACAGATTTTTATGTAAAACCAGATAACGTTATATCGCAAGAAGTCTAATTGCAAAATAACAAAACTATATTATATGGCAAGGAAAGGAAGGTGAAAATTTGGACTCACCAGCCGGTCTTCGTCATCTTCAGCTGCTCTCCACTTGACAAATTTATATTGGTTCGCAGGATCGCCTCGCGGCACGAACGCGGTAAACGATTTTATACGAATTTATTTCGCGGACGGCGCAAGCAAATGGCGATCCTACCGGCTGCGCCAGTCAAGTTAACAGGAGCGGTGGAGGCGTTTTTAAAAACTAAAATAAAAATAAGAGATGTCCGTACAGAAGCTGAAGCAGAAGCCGTAAGCAACAGTGGCCAACTTATTCTAATACATCTTTCATGCAGACGTTATTACATTTGCTTACTCAAGTGACGCGATATAGGCCACACACAGGGTGCAAAGTCAGCAATAGCATTTATGCACGTACTTGTATCACTCTGTGTGGGGTCGAATCCATGACTAAATACAGGTGGGAAACTTTTGCATATAAAAGAAGAGAAATGGGAAATCATAGAAAATCGTATAGGCTTGCAACTGAAGGAACTAAATAAAAGAGTTTTATATAGCTCAGAAAATAATACACGACAACCTCCATAACGCCCAAATGGGGATGTTAACTGAAAATTCCACTCAACACTTAGAAACCAGAGAACTGAAAAAACATTTCAAGCTCCATTTCGCTATTCGGCCCGTAGACCAGATACTCAATCAGTACTAGCTGGTGCATCATCATAATTTAAATATTATACTAATTGTGATTCAAGGTCATCTTGTGCCATACTGTCGTTACCATCCGCATTTCCAATAGGACTACTTATTGAGTCTCCTCATCCATCCCACCACACTCAACCACCATATTCTTCCCCTATATCACTACCTCATGAACCCTCGCCACATCAAATCATCTTTAGTTATCTCATCCATCAGCATCCTACCATACTCAACCTCCTCTTTAATCCCCATGTCAAAAGGAATAATTATTGAACCGCCATATCCATCAGAAAATGACTCGACTGAATCATTTTCTCCATCATAATTAACACAGATAGGTACTATTATAACTTTCTCGATCAAAAGTTCAAACAATGCTGTTACTTGAAACAACACCAACAATGTTATAAGAATTATTTATTTTAGACATTATTAATTTTACGAATACAACAGTATGTAAGGGAGATGGAAACTGCATGAAAAATTATTTGATTTTTAATCCAAAAAAATAAATTATATAAAAAGCAGATATCTTTCTTTCCACAAAATATTCAAGTTATAAGATTCTTTGTGAAGAACGAGTCTTATTTACTCGTACTAACATAGTGCTTAAGGCTTTATAGATAGTCTTATAATATGTGAATAATGCCCTTATAATAACCGAGCCTGTTCGTGATCGGCATGGTCAGGTACAGCCAGTTTTGTGTGAGGCGTGACGTCGCGCTCTGCAAGTATGTGTGGCGAGTCCTGCGTTGCCAGCTACCAGCATCACCATCCTCCTGAGGTACTGGAGGCGTTGCAGCTGTCTGTGCCTGATAAGACGGTGGCCAGGCGTCACCCACATCCCACCTTTAAGGTGTCGTATGCGAGGACAAATCTGCTTAGGTTCGCGCCTATGTCACGTGTTTTAAGGGCCCCTTTTCCCAAATTTATGTTTCTAAATCGTGTTGCTTTCAAAGAAATCATCATATTTAAAATCCTAAAAAAATATATAGTACAGATAAACGTTTGATCTAGTGACTTTTTTGGATAAAACACAATATTAAACATTTAACTCGATAAAAAAATCAGAAGTAACATCGATTTTGAAAGCATTTTCAGTTTTATGAGAATTAGGGGAACGCTATATTTATGAAAATTTTACATTTCATTTACTAATCAGGTTTGACAGGGATATTATTGGATAGATTTATAATTTGGCACTTTTTTTTCTATATAAAATAAAATACGTAAAAAGCGACTCGCGCGCACCACGCCAGTGCCGCCAGTGTCCAGCCGGACGTCATCGAGGGAGGACTTGTGCTATTTTTGCTCGCGACTACGTTGTCGTCGCCGCTCGCGTAGTAGTACCTACCTACTAGCATAAAAACTTGTTGTATTATATGTAATATAATAGAAATTAGTTTAAAAAGACAATACTCGTATCTAAGTATACTGACCTTTGTTTTTTAAACAGTGTTTGTAAATAAATATTTTTTGTAAGTTGTGATTTAATTAAAATGGCGAATAAAAAATACAAAATTAGGAAAAAAAGCCTACCTAAAATGAAGAAGATCCGAAAGTGTATTGCGTAAGTACTTAATAAGTTCCTATAACCTAGCCCTAGCGTAACATCAACAGGTCATTTACAATAAAAAAATACATATTGGAATAATTAGATATCTACTTTAACAGGGACATAGACTAGCTAAATCAGTATGACAATTTTTATTTTCGTTTTCTAATGTTCCATTATTTAGTGGGTGGATTCGTCACAATATAATTTACTGTAATCTAGCTAAGCTACACAGACTAGCGAAGTCAGTATGACAAGAATTTTAAATCCTATAGTAACATTCACCTATATTTTTGCATACCTACTAACTCCAGTAATTCATTTTTTTTTGCTTTTTGAAATTTTGTAAATTTATTTATTCCATTCCAGTGCTCTGAGATCTCGTACCGATAAAGGTACTTTGATGTTCAAAAAAAGTACCGATGGGCACTCTAAGGAGAGGCAGTATGCGTAAGTACATTATATACATATTACACAGTATACTAGGGAGGAACAGTTTTACCTATTATTATTATTTGTATTCTTCAATTGTCAGATTTCTTATGCCCATACCACGGGCCAAATTCCTCGGATCACCAGGGTCGATCTCCAAGGCCCTTGGCAATCTAAATGGGATGCTAGGGTTTCTTGAAGAGATAGGTCGGCTCGAGTAGTGAGCCCCCACCGATCACACAAAATAGGCGCTTTTGACGTAGAGTTGTGGAAACCAGCCCGTTTTACCATTACCATGACCACCACGCGTATGTCTGGGATTCACGATTTCAGGAAGTAAGCATTTATGGTAAAACTGTATTAATTTGAACTCCATCTTCAATTTCCAAAATACGTCAACTTTTCAATTATTTCGATGTGGACTGGCTCTTTTTCTCCGGCCCAATACTAAGTAGACATTGCCGTCGTCTTGCCACATGCAATTGTCCCTGGATTGGTACAACCAATTACTAATTTTATTGCGATGCAATGTCTTTTGATACTTGCCCTTTGCAAATAGGGCCGAAATTGAAGGCAGTAATAAGATTTTTTTCGAATTTTCGTGTTACGTTCAATCGCGTCCTTGTCAGCAGTAAGAGTTTCTAAATTCTTTAGAAATTCTTCTTTAGCTACTTCTAGTTCAGACTGGGACATATCCGGATCTAAACTGGTGGGGCCATAGTCATTTTGTTTTTGTTTCGCGTCTGTCAATTTCCTGATTTTCTTCCTAACTGGACGTTCTGAGTTGTTTTTTCTTTTCTGAGCTTCTTCCCTTTTCTTTTCCACAACATCAGCAAATCCCATTTCGGGTCGATCTTTATTTGTTAATGTGTTTTGCACATAGGATATGGCTGACTTTTCATTAAATTTTACGACTGCAGCATTACACCTCCCTTGGTACCCTCGTTTCAAGGCAAAATTTATTCGCTTTCCTCCTATAAACTTAGCAATGAGACTGTTGAAACATTCGACAAGATTGGTATTCACGTTTTCTATTAAACTGCGTGATTTTACTGCCACATTTGAAATATTCAAATACATGAACAGAAATGTTGAATTTTGAATGGTTTTCAGTCCGTTGCTAGAAAATTTTTCTGTTACAGTTATAATCCTGGCACATTATGTGATCACCGTATGCATGCGCCACAGAATTATTTATATCACTGTATAGTTTTAGCATCGTCCTTGGGATTTTTATTATGGTGTATAACTGATCTTACTATTGCTTTCCAATTGGACATAATTTTCACAACTGTCAAAGTTCTTCAGTGGGACAAAGGATATTTTGTTTCTGTAACCAGACTACGTAATTTTTTGCAAAGATTTCTCAAAATATGATTTCTTCACTAAATTTTTTCCACTGTAATATTTTGGTCTTTATATAGATTTTATTTTAGCACTTTTTCGTATATAGAGGCGTCTCTGTCTACAATCTTTCTTTTATAAATTATGCTATACCTACATGTAAATGGATAGGTTGAACCCTTTGGCAATTATTTGGCCCTCCATAGAACATGATGAATCTCTGTTGCTACCATGCCTGTGGTAGCTGCTATATTTACATTAACATTTGAGTCAGTATTTACCGAATGTATTAGGGATGTTTGTTTACAAATATAAATCCCTTTCATTAATGACTTTCCATTGTTGCAGGAAAACTAGAAATGACGAAGATGATCCCCTTGTCGTTGAAGCTAAAAATCAAGAAGACAAGTTTCAAAAGACAACTAGAAAAGACGAAGATGATTCCCTCGTCGTTGAAGATAAAAATCAAGAAGACAAGTTTCAAAAGACAACTGGAACAGACGAAGATGATGATTCCCTTATTGTTGAATTTGGAATTCAAGAATACAAGTTCCCACCAGTGGCAGGAAGACGCATTTGTGATATTAATTATATATTTAGTCAATTACAAGAAAAAGCACGTCACAACAACTTGTTTGACTGCAAAGCTGGAAATTTTCAGCTAATCGGTGAAAAAAGGGTTGGCTTACTTTCAGTATATAAGTTTGAATGCAATATTTATAAACAAATTTGCCTTATAAAATCGGAAAATACTGACTCAAATGTTAATGTGAATATCGCAGCTACCACTGGCATGGTCGCAACAGGCATCGGCTTCTCACAATTCGAAGAGCTTTTTTCTGCAATGAATATTCCTGTATTTTCTACAAAATATTACAATCAACTCCAGGATCAAGTGTACGAATGTTGTGAAAAAACAGCAGCCGAATCGTGGCAAGATGCTGCAGAAGAAGAAAAACATTGGCTATCGCAGAAGGTCGCACCAAAAATGGCATACCGGTAATTGACGTTTACGTCGATGCTTCTTGGTGTGCTAGATCGTACGGATCAAATTATAAAGCTGCTTCTGGAACTGTGGCAATTATCGGTAGAAGAACCGGTAAAATAATTTTTCTGGCTGTAAAAAATAAATACTGCCTCGTGTGCGCCCGTGCATAAAACAAAATGTCGCTCCTAAGGAGCACAATTGTTTCAAAAACTTCGATGGTTCATCGTGTTCTATGGAGGGTCAAATAATTGCCGAGGGGTTCAAACTATCCATTTCCATGTATGGCATAATTTATAAAAGAATGATTGCAGACGGAGACGCCTCGACAAACGCAAAAGTGCTGAAAGAAAATCCATATAAAGACCAAAATATTACGGTGGAAAAAATTGAGTGTAGAAATCATATTTTGAGAAATCTATGCAAAAAATTACGTAGTCTGGTTTCAGAAACAAAATACCTTTTGGCTCACCGAAAAACTTTGACAGTTGTGAAAATTATGTCCATGAGGAAAGCAATAGTAAGGTCAGTTATACACCATAACAAAAATCGAAAGGACAATGCTATAACTATTCTTCACAGTGATATAATCAATTCTGTGGCGCATGCATACGGCGATCACAGAATGTGCCAGGATTATAACTGTGACAAAGAAAAAGTTTATAGCGACGGGCTGAAAATTTCTGTTCCGGATGAATTCAATTATTTCTAATGTGGCAGCAAAATCACGAAGTTTAATAGAAAACGTGAATACCAATCTTGTCGAATGTTTCAACAATGTCATTGCGAAGTTTATAGGAGGAAAGCGAATAAATTTTGCCTTGAAACGAGGGTACCAAGCAAGGTGTAATGCTGCAGTCGTAAAATTTAATGAAAAGTCAGCCATATCGCATGTGCATAACACATTAACAAATAAAAATCGTCCCGAAATGGGACTAACTGTAGTTGTGGAAAAGAAAAGGGAAGAAGCTCAGAAAAGAAAAAACAACTCAGAACGTCCAGTTAGAAAGAAAATCAGGAAATTGACAGACGCGAAACAAAAACAAAATGACTATGGCCCCGCCAGTTTAGATCCGGATATGTCCCAGTCTGAACTAGAAGTAGCTAAAGAATAATTTCTAAAAAATTTAGAAACTCTTACTGCTGACAAGGACGCAATTGAGCGTAATACAATATTACAAAGAGACAATAGCGAATGGTTAGAAATTCGAAAAAATCTTATTACTGACTCTAATTTCGGCCCTATTTGCAAAAGGCAAGTATCAAAAGACACCGCACCGCTGGTAAAAAATATATTATATAAAAAAAATTTAGGCCATGTTGCATCAATTGCTTATGGTATTGAAAATGAGCAGCAAGCATTGCACAAGATACAACAACAAGAAAACGTGTCTATTGAGCCCTGTGGACTGTTTATAGATAATGATTTTCTATTCATTGGTGCTACGCCAGATGGGCTCATTGGAAATGACATTCTAGTGGAAGTCAAATGTCCTTTTTCAGCATCAAAAATTGGCATGAAAAAAGCAATTGAAGAAAATAAAATACAAATATTAAAATTTAATAAAAAAACGCGCACTGCAACACTTAATAAAAATAGTAATTGGTTCTACCAAATCCAGGGATAATTGCATGTGGCAAGACGACAGCAATGTCTACTTGGTATTTGGGCCGGAGAAAAAGAGCCAGTCCACATCGAAATAATAGAAAAAGATGACTTATTTTGGAAATCGAAGATGGAGTCCAAATTAATACAGTTTTACCATAAATGCCTACTTCCTGAAATCGTGAATCCCAGACATACGCGTGATATGGGCATAAGAAATCTGACACTTGAAGAATAAAAGAAAGAAAGAAGAAAAAACCGAAAATAAGGAAAATGAGGAACCTCTAACACAAAACAGTCCTGATTTGTTATCAGATGCTAGTCCCCAACACGGAGGGGAGCGCCATGAGGACTGTGGCTTTGACCCTCTAAGAGGAGACTCACGCCCAGCATTAAGGAATATATCGGTCGATGAAAATGAACCTGGACCTAGCACACGAGAACTAGATTTTATTGAATTTTAATTTTTAGTTGGCTTTTTTCAATTTTTATTTTCCTCTATTATTAAAATTTCACCCAAATTTTATTTTAATTTTTTTGTAAATGATTATAAAGAAGCCTTTTGAAGCTTTTTTAGGATTTCGTAGCCGAATGGAAAAAACCGGAACCCTTATAGATTCGTCATGTATGTCTGTCCGTCCGTCCGTCCGTGTGTCACAGCCTTTTATTCCTGTGGCGTCATTAATCTGAGAAATAAAAATAAATAATTAAAATTAAAATAAAATACGAAAATAAATAAGTAACATAAAACGTACCTTGAAGTCGTGTCGTATCGTCGCAGAAATCGTAATCAAGTCGTTGAGTAGTAAAGACGCCCCGATAATGCTTTGAACAAAGGATTGAAGACATCGAAGCGGCGCACCCGCCACGCAGTTAGTAAGAATATATTACTGTGACGGTAAGACGTATGACGCTTGCGCCCGGCTATTGTTTTTATTTGCTACTTGCTTTGAACTGTTTCTTCCTTCCTGTGCTAATAACTTCTGTGCTACGCTTTGTGCTAAATTATAAACAGTATAGTATATGTGAACCATTGTATTCGCGAACTATTATAGTATTCGTGAACTATTGTGTACGTGAATTATCGTAGCTGTGAACTATAGCATAGGTGAACTATTTAATTGTGTGAACTGTTCTGCTTACAATAAATTTTATAGAAAGTGATTGGTGAGTAATTTATTAAGAATCTCCCCACATCACTTCACTGGTGACCCCGCTTGGACTTTGTACTGCGAGAATCCAAACGTAAGCAGAATCCAAAGTAATATTTTAATAACAACATTCAAAATAAGATGGCAGAGAAACAAGCTAAACCCTCCCAATCGTTATCACGAGAAACACGTAACGAAGAAGGGTCATTTACACCATCCGATATATGTCGTGTCGGCGTCCGACTGCCACTGTTTTGGGCTGAAGAGCCTGCTGTGTGGTTCGCACAAGCAGAAGGGAATTTTGCACTATCCGGTATTAAAGAAGACGAAACAAAATATTATTATGTAATTGCACAATTAGACCATAGATATGCGGCAGAAGTCAAAGACATTATAGTTTCACCACCTCAAAAAGATAAATACGAGAAACTTAAAACAGAACTTATCAGAAGACTCTCAGCATCTCGAGAAAAAGAAGTGAAGCAGTTGTTAATGCATGAGGAACTTGGAGATAGGCGTCCATCACAATTTTTACGACATTTGCAACATTTAGCGGGCCCTAATGTTCCAGATGACTTTATCAGGACAATATGGACTAGTCGCCTCCCAAACAATTTTCAAACCGTAATTGCATCACAGCCTGACTCAACTTTGGAAGCACTGGCTGCCTTAGCCGATAAGGTGCACCAACTTGTTCCGGCATCTCCACACGTAGCTTCGATGGATGCAGCACCAGGATCTTTACTTGACACAATGTCAAAACAGATCGCGGAACTTACTCGTCAAGTGCAAGCATTATCCTTTCGAAATCGAAGAAAATCACGGTCACAAAAGAGAGACAACAAACGAGACCGCAACCATAGTCACAGTCACAGTCATACTCGTAATCGGTCTCAGTCAAATTATAGAAGATTTCCATTTTGCTACTATCATTATAAATTTGGCAATAAGGCTAATAAGTGCGTTAAGCCTTGTGATTACCAACAGGGAAACGATCAGGGCAGTCGTTAGTGGCGACAAATGATTGCCTCAGTTCATCCGGTCGCCTGGTTGTCACGGATCGCAGAACGAAGATGCAATTCTTGGTCGACACCGGAAGCAACCTTTGTGTCTTCCCGCGTACGGCACTTAAACAACGACGACCTCGAACATCTTATGAACTTTTTGCGGCAAATGGAACTCCCATACCCACCTACGGCTATGCTCATCTCGAACTAAATCTGGGACTTCGACGAGATTTTTCATGGCGCTTTGTAGTAGCCGATGTAAACAAAGCAATCATCGGAATTGATTTCTTATCATTCTACCATATCATTGTCGACTGTCGTAACCGTCGGTTAATAGATAACAGTACTTCGTTGCAAACACCTGCTGAGCCTGCTACAGCTAATGTGATAGCTTCAGTTAAAACCATGAGAGGTCATTCAAAGTATGTTGAATTACTACTTGACTTTCCGGAGATAACCCGACCGTCAGGTGTACCGCAAGCTCCTAAGTATAGTACCGTTCACTTCATTCGTACTAAGCCAGGACCACCTGTGTCTTGCAACCCAAGAAGATTATCACCAGAAAAACTGAAAATAGCGAAGCAAGAATTCGAGGCAATGATAAAGAGTGGAATAGCACGTCCATCTGAGAGCCCGTGGTCTTCTCCGCTCCATCTTGTACCAAAGAAAGATAACGGATGGCGGCCATGTGGCGATTACAGAATGTTGAACGCGCAGACAATTCCAGACAAATATCCCATCAGGTACTTACAAGACTTTACCCATTACATATCGGGTTGTACAATTTTTTCTACGCTAGATTTGGTGAAAGCGTACAACCAGATACCAGTCAACCCAGATGATATTCCGAAGACTGCCATCACCACACCATTTGGTATGTTCGAATTTCCATATATGAATTATGGCTTAAAAAAATGCGAGCCAAACCTTTCAAAGGTTTGTAGACGAAATAACACGAGGACTTGATTTTTGCTTCGCGTACCTGGATGATTTTCTAATATTTTCCCAGGACGAAGACAGCCATCTTGACCACCTTCGCCAAATCTTTGAAAAACTTCAGGAATTCGGCATGGTTATCAACACGAGCAAATGTGAATTCGGTAAGAAAGAGATCACCTTTCTAGGGTATCACGTCTCAGCCAACGGTGTTAAGCCTTTGGACAGTAAGGTTCAAGCCATCAAAGACTTCCCCACTCCAAAAAACGTACGAGAACTTCGGCGTTTTCTAGGGATGTTAAACTTTTATCGCCGATTTATCAAAGGAGCTGCCGAAATTCAGGCACCATTAAACTCTTTGCTGACGGGGTCCGTAAAAGGATCACGGTCCGTGGATATATCTGGAGAAGCCCTACATGCTTTTGAGCAGTGCAAAACTAGCCTCTGTCAAGCAGCATTCTTGGCACATCCAGATCTGAACGCCAGATTAGGTTTGGTAACCGACGCCTCAGATAAGGCAATCGGTGCCGCCTTGCAGCAAGTAAAGAATGAATCATGGCAGCCACTTGCATTCTTCTCTAAGAAACTGAAACCAGCGCAACAGAAATACTCGCCATACGACAGGGAGCTTCTTGCTATATACGAGTCAGTGAAATACTTCAGACACATGCTTGAAGCAAGACATTTTACTGTTTTCACTGACCACAAACCAATCTGTTATGCATTTCAAATCAGAAAGGATAAGTGCTCACCCCGCCAGTATCGTCATCTCGATTTCATATCTCAATTCACCACCCACATCCAACACATCTCTGGAAAAGATAACATAGTAGCTGATACGCTTTCAAGAGTTGAAGAATTAGCTCAGCCTGTTAGTCTGGTTACCTTAGCCAAAATGCAGGACGTGGATACGGAATTGAAAGAAATTCTGAAAGGTGGGACATCACTTCGATTAGTTAAGGTACCAATACCTGGCACGAAGGCAGACGTATATTGTGATGATGGAACTGGAAATCAAAGGCCTTACGTACCTCAAAACTTAAGGAAGCAAGTCTTTGAGAGTTTACATTCGCTGAGCCATCCTGGGGTAAAAGCCACAACAAAGATGATAACAGAACGCTACGTTTGGCCAGGAGTAAAGAGAGACTGTCGTGAATGGTCAAGAACGTGTCACCCCTGCCAGCGTGCAAAGATAACAAGTCATATCTCCGCACCTTTAGGTACATACAAATTACCACCTGCCAGATTCCAATACGTCCATATAGACATCATTGGACCTTTACCTGTATCAGATAGATATCGCTATTGTCTTACAGCAGTTGATAGATTTACCAGATGGCCTGAGGCAATACCCTTATCAGATATCACTGCTGAAACTGTTGCAAAAGCAGTTCTTAATGGCTGGATCTCACGTTTTGGGTGTCCTGCTGAAATCATCACAGATCGAGGAAGACAATTCGAATGTTCCTTATTTAAACATCTATCCAATCTAATCGGATTTCAGCATGAGCGAACTACATCTTACCAGCCAGCTTGCAACGGTATGGTAGAAAGGATGCACAGACAGCTTAAAGCCGCTATTGTATGCCACAATAATCAACAATGGACAGAATCATTGCCATTAGTACTATTAGGTATGAGAAATACATTAAAAGAAGACCTTCAAGCATCACCCGCTGAGTTACTTTATGGTGAATCACTTAGGTTACCAGGAGAATTTCTCCATTCTAACAACAGCGAAAGAAGCACAGACATAACGGATTTCTTATCACGCTTAAGGCTGATAATGAACAATATTCGCCCATCACCTGGAACACGTCACGGTAGTAAAAAAAATATTTATCTTTAAAGAGTTACCAAACGCGACTCACGTTTATGTCAGGGATGACTCTGTGAAAGGTTCACTGCAACCAGCGTACACCGGTCCCTTCAAAGTGCTAGAAAGAGGAGATAAGATTTACAAATTACTCGTGAAAGGCAAAGAACAAACTGTCTCAATAGATAGAATAAAACCTGCCTATACACCCTCTGACGCTTCTGCATGTCGAACACCACCTGCACACAAAAAAGAAGAGTATGAGAGAAATTGTACACGCTCAGGACGCAGAGTTAAATTACCTGATTATTATCGCCCATCATAGATGGTCTCTGGGGGGAGTGATGTGGCGTCATTAATCTGAGAAATAAAAATAAATAATTAAAATTAAAATAAAATACGAAAATAAATAAGTAATATAAAACGTACCTTGAAGTCGTGTCGTATCGTCGCAGAAATCGTAATCAAGTCGTTGAGTAGTAAAGACGCCCCGATAATGCTTTGAACAAAGGATTGAAGACATCGAAGCGGCGCACCCGCCAGGGTTGCCAACCGTACGAGGTTCCTCGTACAAATACGAGATTTGTGGTCTTCCGTACGAGGTACGAGGACACTATCAACCTCGTACAATTATGTACGAGATCTTGATAATATGGCTCTAACATTTTGCACCACTATTATAAAATAGTAAAAACTAGTACCATCTATCAGAACTTGAAGGAACTTCTTACACCAAAAATTTAATTGCCGCATTTACGCGATGATTGTCTATGGTAGCCTAAATCAGACTTGGCTGTATCGGCTCAGCTCCCTTTGCCTGTCCCAAATAGGGACGAAAGGAATAAAAAAAATTATGTAGCTCATAGACTTTGTATGTACCCGTCAACCGGGTAACGGAAATCCCCGACCAAAACATTTCGTTCTTCGCATTAGTCGTCTATGTCACACATAGCGCAACTTTCTCTGTTCTTTACTATTTTTTTTTTTTTATTTTTTTTTATTTGGAACACCAACAGCATATAAACGTTACATGAATACAAATTGGTCATTTCGACAAAGCCATTTACAGGTATTCGCATATGGTTATTTAAATGTAAAGAGGCCATGACAACAGTAACAATAAACAAGTAAATCCCCGAAGTTGAGGAGTGTTTTTAAAATTTGAGAGTATTTAAGAATTTGTTGCACCCACGGCGCGGGGGCCAAAGAACTCCAACGCAAACAATCTACTTACATTATGAGGCTTGGTACGGAATAGTTCTAATTCGCCGTTATTTATTGACAATTTGTTAAAAAAGTTACTCGCACGAATAATAAATGAATTGCGGCGGTAGTTAGTATTGACTCTAGGAATAGCCAGTGACTGAGTACGTCTAGTTGGTAATCTACGCGGAACCCAGATGCTTACCTTTTCCAGCAAAGCAGGGCAATCAATGATGCCTCCGACAATTTTTAATAGATACGTAATATCGAAGAGTTGCCGTCTTTTTTCTAAAGGTAATAAGTGGTATCTATTGCATCTCGTTTCATAACCATGGTCCAATTGCTTACACTTGTATTGTAGATATCTCAAGAACCTTTTTTGTATGGACTCAATACGGGAAGTATACACGTTATATTGTGGATTCCAGACCACAGAGGCATACTCAAGGATACTGCGCACATAAGCACAATAAAGTACTTTAATCGGTTTAATAGATTTAAATTCATATGTAGACCTTATAATGAAACCAAGAGATTTGGAGGCCTTTTTCACTACGTAATCAATGTGCTTATCAAATAAAAGTTTAGAATCTTGAATGAGACCCAGGTCTTTCATAGATGTAACTTTGTTAAGTGACTTATTATTGATTTTATATTGATAATTTATAGGGTTAAATTTACGAGAAAAGGTCATAGCAAAACACTTGGAAACATTCAAATCAAGCTTATTTTGAGTACAGTATTGCACAAAATTATTCAGATCGGACTGAAGGCGATCACAGTCACCAGAGCTGTTAGTGGCCATAAAGATCTTAGTGTCGTCTGCGTATAATAAGACTCTGGCATGTTTGAAACATAACGCAATGTCGTTTATGAATATAACAAAAAGCAAAGGCCCTAATAAAGAGCCTTGAGGTACGCCAGAAGGAATTGTTATCCACGCAGAAGTAAAACCATTTAATGCAACCGCCTGGGATCTATTACTGATGTAAGAAGAAAACCATCTAAATAAATTACCATGTATACCGGCTTTGTACAATTTCTCAAGGAGCAGTAAGTGATCTATACGATCAAAAGCTTTACTAAAATCAGTAAAAATACAATCGACCTGTAGCCCTGAATCCATTTGTGAAGAGGTGTATTCATTAAAAACTAAAAGGTTTGATACAGTCGACCTCTGCCTTAAAAAGCCATGTTGTTCAGGAGTAAAAGAAGACTGCAGTGTAGCATATATCTGTCGGTAGACAACTTTCTCAAATATTTTGGCAAATATACACAACTTAGATATAGGCCTATAATTTTTTACATTAGAACGGTCACCGCTTTTATGGACGGGCGTTACAAATGCTGATTTCCAGGTCATTGGCACTATACCTTCTTTTAAAGAACGCTTGAAAATAATACATAGAGGCGTAACCAAGCTATCTACGCACTGCCTTATAAAAAAAGGTGTTATACTATCAGGCCCAGCGCCTTTATTCATGTTAGTAGTTTTCAGCAATATTTCAACCTCCTTCGGATTTATATTTATGTCACCAATACTAAAATTATCTTGGCACTGATTATCAAGATTAGGTGTACGGCTATTAGCTTCGGGAACGAGAAAAGTTGATTGAAAGTATTCTGAAAATAAATTACACACCGATTGTCCAGTATCACCAGACTGGTCCTCGTATGTCATAACAGATGGTAGTGCCTGGGAGTGCCCTTTCAGCGACTTTGTGTAAGACCAAAAAAGACGTGGGTTATTTACTACCGAGTTTTCTACTTTACTTATGTATGACTGATAACACTCACTTTCTAATTTTATGGCTCTTTCTCTCAGAAATGAGTATGTTTCGTAATCGTACCGGTTACCATATTTTTTATATTTTTTAAAATATTTGAATTTTTCTTTTAAAACCTTTTTTAAGGCGGCGTTGTACCAAATAGGAAATGAGCTACTACAGATAATTTTGTGAGGTATAAATTCGTCACGAAGATCGGTCAGAATACGATAAAAATTATGAACACTGTCGTCAATAGAACCGCTCGATAACAAGACATTCCAATCTGTTTTCGACAAGTTGGAATTAATTTCTACATAATTTCCTTCTTTGTAATTGAAAACGGTTCTCTTATTGACAGTCAGAAAACTAGGTATGTCTAAATTTAATTCGATGCAAATTGATCTAAGGTGTGAATCCTCCGAGACAAGGGGGTGGTCACTAGGTAGTACATTTATATGGTTATTGCAAAAGACAAGATCCAGTAGCCTATCGTTGCTATTTCGTATGTTATTGTATTGGTTGAGATTACATTCATTAATTATGTCCAAAAAATTTACCTGACTTTCGTTTAAAACTCCTATTGGCCCTAATTGACCGCTTTCCATTAAGACCCAGCTGATATTTGGCATATTAAAATCTCCCAAGACCATAAACAGGTCGTTGGGTGCAGAGTGAAAGTTATCCCCAAGCTTACTCGCAAAGTTATCGAGTTGTGTATTCATTGAATAGCCGCCTCCCTCCTTACATAAATAAATAGTGCAAATGTGTAATGCGAGAAGGCCGGCTTTGGTGCGGAGTGTCACGGAGACCCAAATATCTTCGGCGGAGGAGTACCAAGCCGGGCGACCGGTGGCGGCGAGCTCGCGGCGCACGGCCACCAGCACGCCGCCGCCGTACCGCTGCCCGGTAAAGCGGTAGTCGCGGTCACGCCGCCACACTATATACCGTTCGTCAAAAAGTTCACTATCACTAATGCCATCTAATAGCCAAGTCTCCGTTATTGATATGATATCAAAGCTGCTTAAGGCCACATTTCTCTTAAATAAGCTTGTTTTAGTGCGTAGTCCCCGAGCATTTTGATAAAAAATATTAATAGCGAATTTTAGAGTACACAATCGTTACATTGTATATAAAATTGGTTCTGATTTTGGTCTGGAATTCACAACAATCACCACTGCAAAGCGACATTGTTTTGCGAAAGCGAGTTGCAAGTAGAGCAATCAACAAAACGACGGCAAAAGCAAAGTTAAATAAGCGAGAACGGTAGTATCTCGTAGATATCGACAACACGCAAACATTGAGTAACATTTTAAAAGCAAAATATGAGGTAAAAATAATATGTTCCACCAGTACATGCGGGGTGCAGAGAAATTCTACCTCTAAGTACATACAGTTACGATAGCTATTAACAGAAGTGCCATCACTAATGACCGCCGCGTACAGGTAGTGAGTAATAGCGATAAGCAATACAAAAGAGTCAGGGCTTCCCGCGTCCCGGGCGCAACAATCACAATATTTACGCGAGTTGAAATAGTATAATCTTGAGCAATATGTCGTACAAGCATTTAGTAAATTGAAATATACACACTTTATGAATTTTATGAAAATTTTAGAAGATCTTTTTCTGATTTTATGCGGAACGTCGGTGATGTGTCGGATTTTCGGGCCAGAATCTTGCAATGTTTTATCCACACATATTTGAAGTTTTTTATTTTCGCCAGATCCTTCGCCTTCTTAAGAAGAGCTTTATTAAGCTTAATGGTCTTTACATCTTCAATAAGTGACGCCAAGGGTACAAGTTGCTGCGTAATATTCACTAGGGTAGCCTGCATTTCTTCCAATCGCACTGCTATCCCAGGATTATTACAAAATGTTGATGCAGGAGACTGGGCATTTTTGCAGTCAATACAGCGCCAGGTGGATCTTCTTTCCCCAAGTTTACGAAAATTGGTCTCTGTAATACCAGCACAGGCGAAGTCAAACTGCCGTTTACATAAATTACATAAAGGTCCATCAGACACTTTATTCCCACAACGTGTACAAGAGAACATTTCCGCTTTAGATTATTAAACTTAGTAAAGCGGCCCCAGAGTTGACCGTCACTGGCGTAGGATTTACTGGTAAACAATCTAGCGCGTACACTTTTACCGCGTTCCGACGAGCGCGTATACCCTTTACCGCGTTCTGACGAAGACTGACGTGTTCCATTCGTTGCATGCCGGCCGTGTTTAGTTGTGCTACAATATTACGTGGAGCTAATTGAAGTTTTTGTAAAAAAGAAGATTTTATTGTTAAATACCTAGTCTTTACGTTGTTTGGACCATTGTTTAATGGTATAATAGAAGTATCGTAATGAGTGATAATGACGTAAACAGTGACCGTTCGCCTACTTTGACTCCGCCTAGAAAATTACCCAAAAAAGGTGCTTGGACAAGAAAAAAGGAAGGTAACGCATTATCGCAACAACGTGTACAAAATTTTAGACAGCAATGGTTAAACGACCCGACTTTTAAAGACTGGCTTTTGCCAGACACCAATGATTTAACAAAAGCTAAATGTGTATATTGCCCGGGAACATCAATGGTAGCTGAACTATCCAATTTAAAAACTCATGCCTCTACCAAGAAACACCTAAGCAACAAACCCGGATCCAGTGGAAAAACACAAGCATTAACATCGCTTGGATTCCAAAGAGGTATAACTCCACAAAATAGAGAAAAAGCTCGTGCAGAAATTAAACTTTCTGCTTTTTTTGCGGAGCACAATATTGCATTCTCGGTTGCTGACCATTTGACAGATTTATTAAAAGAAGTTGTGACGGATTCTAAATTAATCAAGGAAATTGAACTTAAACGAACCAAAATTACAGGTGTGATAAAGAACGTTCTCGGAGAAGGTCATAAGGCAGATTTAGCCCAAAAACTACAAAAAAATCAGTTTTCGGTGATGACGGACGAGACGACCGATGTGTCTACGGTCAAAACTGCTTGCGTTGTGGTACGCTATTTTGATCAAGAAGCTCAAAAGATATGTAGCGCATTTTGGGAGCTGTACAAAGTTTTTAAGGAAACACCTGATGCTGTTGATATTCCTACTGCCAATGCCGAGAATTTATACAGAGCTCTTATTGATTCATTTACTAACCGTAATGTTCCATTAACAAATGTGATCGGCTTTGGCTCAGATGGGTGTAATGTCATGATGGGTGATAACGACTCAGTGAAAACAAGGTTATTACGCGATTTTCCAGGAATCATAATCACGAAGTGCGTTTGTCATTCGGCCCATTTGTGTGCCAGTGAAGCCTGTAAACAGCTGCCTGAAGGTGTAGAACAACTGGCTAGAGATATCTACAACTTTTTTAAACATAGTGATAAACGGCTATTTGATTTTCGTAACTTCCAGTCGTTTGCTGCAGTGGAGCCTCACAAAATACTGAAACCATCACAGACAAGATGGCTTTCCTTATTATCAGTGGTTGAAAGGATATTAGAGCAATGGGAAGCCCTACGTCTTTTTTTTATCGATTTTACGACAAATCGTGCACATAGAGCAAGAGCCGATGTAAGAAATCGAGCAGTATTTATTCTCGAAAAACTCAGCAACCCATTCTACAAACTTTATTTCTGTTTCCTTGAATGGTCGCTCCCTTTATTCAATAAGTTCAATCTGGAATTTCAAAGCGAGAAAGTAGTTGTTCACAATCTACATGAGAAAATTCGTACACTCTACCAGGAAATCCTATTGCGTTATTTACAACGCGAATATGTCATGAGGCCAAATCTTGGTGAAATAAACCCTTAAAGTCAGCGACATCAGCTCCATGACAATGCACTGTATCTTGGTGTCAAAGTGTATGAGCTCTTGAAACATCCAGATGTGATCAGACAGCCCACAGATATCGCTCAGTTCTTCTCATGCTGCAAAAATTTCTACAAAGTTGCAGCCATCGAAATTAAAAAACGATATAACATGGAAGATCCTGTCTTGTCAAAGCTACAAGTTTTTGAGCCTGCATCTGCACTCTCCTACAATTTTAGGAGCAATTTCCCTACACTTATGCCTCTTATGGAAGTGGTCCCCCGAATAATCGCAACAGCTGATCATGCAAAGAAACAAATAATCGACAATCAATGGAGGAGTTTGCCAAATGCACAAGCTCGTCATCCTAAAGGGTTGAATGAAATTAGTGAGCCAGATAAGTTTTGGGCTCAATTACTGAAAACTGAAGACTTTTCCGAGCTAGCTCATTTTGCCCTATCTACACTGTCCCTACCCCATGCGAATGCTGACTGCGAGCGGGTTTTTAGTAAAATCAATTTAATAAAGACAGAAATACGAAACCGGCTAACTGTGGAAACAGTGAACGGCACACTTCTTGCTGCAGAGAGCGCAAAGGGTTCAACTCGTACTGGAAACTGCGTCAATTTTGAGCCCACAAAAGAAATGTATAGTCGCATGACAAAAGATAAAATATACGGCAGAAAAAACGATGACAGTGAGGATGTTCCTGACATAATATTTGGAGAGGAGATGTAAACTAAGTTACCTTTACCTTTTTGTTACATTTTAATTGTCGTAATAATATAGCCACATTTAGTTTTTTTTTGTGATTTTACTTGAGTAATAATAAAGGTTTTTTTAAATACTTATAAACTTGCAATAGTTTATTTCATTGAGAAAAAGTCCTAAATCCAGTAGTTCAATATACATTAATTTTGGTTTAGCACGTTTTCGATGCATAGTAAATGTACGAGGTTTGAAAGTCAAAATACGAGATTTTTAGCAATGAGGAAAAAGGAAATATTTTTTTACTGTTGGCAACCCTGGCACCCGCCAAGCAGTTATTAAGAATATATTACTGTGACGGTAAGACGTATGACGCTTGCGCCCGGCTATTGTTTTTATTTGCTACTTGCTTTGAACTGTTTCTTCCTTCCTGTGCTAATAACTTCTGTGCTACGCTTTGTGCTAAATTATAAACAGTATAGTATATGTGAACCATTGTATTCGCGAACTATTATAGTATTCGTGAACTATTGTGTACGTGAATTATCGTAGCTGTGAACTATAGCATAGGTGAACTATTTAATTGTGTGAACTGTTCTGCTTACAATAAATTTTATAGAAAGTGATTGGTGAGTAATTTATTAGCCCCTTGTATGGCGGCGGCGATTTTGCAAATACTGCACGTCTGCTAAGGCCTTAGCACGTAATTTCCGCGATATCGACGCGTGGCGATTTAATTAGTCATTTCTCCAAAATATTGTATGGAAGCTATGTATAATCCTTATGTCATTTGAATTGTTATAATATTTGCTATTACTTTGTGGATATTTAAGTTGAATACAGCTTAAGAGATTTGATAAATCTTATTTCAAAATTAGGCAACCGAATTTTTTAATAGTATTCTGTACATAATACGTGAAAATTAAACAATAAAATTATTAATTTATAAAATAAATGTCATTTATTTACATTAATATACACTACTTTACAATAAAAAAGCAAAATAACCACACATTCCCATAAATTTTTTACACAACAAGCGTCGCACAAAAAATAGGGTTTATTTGTTCTTTTATTCCGAGAAAGGAGTGAGTCCAGTAGCATGCGATAATATTTGACAATAATGAATGATTCAAGCTCTTAATGTAGACGAAGTTTCAATTCTACAAATTGTATGGTCTAATATTTATAGATTTTAAACAAAACATATAAAAATAATCGCTGTAAAACATCTTCTCAAACTTTGTATCTCAGAGTAAATTTTATTGGATTTATTTGAAATAATATTAAATTTTCTACAAAAGCATGAAATTTACCATTCAAAATATACAAATAAAAGGAACGTTGCCTAACAAAAACATTGTAGAAATCGAGAATGAAAACAGGTAATATTACAAAAAAAGGGCAACTAGTTAAAAAAAATTTAGTGCTAACAGAATATGGAAGACCTGATGATGTCACATTTGAATTTCATAGATTGTTGTTTCGGGTCTGAGTATCTTTCGTGTTCATGATTTATAGTAACGTGAATTAAAAATTATTTAGGTACTATTGCAAGAATCGTAAAAAATAATTGCCAAAATATACCGTCTGTCAAACCACTACAAGGAAGTCTCTCATTGACATATTTTACGCTTATTACGCTATGGATGATAAAAGAATAGTACATAAAATTTGTATTTATTTATATATATATATATATATATATAATTATATATATATATATATATATATATATATATATATATATATATATATATATATATATATATATATATATATATATATATATATTGCAACGATATATATACAGTTAAATATGAACTGCAGTTATGAATGTAGAGTGAGAAAGCAAGGGGTTATACATATGCCTGCCACTTTTACCGGGCAGAAGCGTGAACTCTGCGAGGTGGTGGTGTCGCACATCTCTGCTGATATCTTCACTGGTAGGTGCGACATAACGGGACGAATGTTTTTACCACACCCTTGTTCTTTTCCTTTCAATGGGGTACATTGCCAACATTTGGTCTTTTTTGTCCACCCCACCCATCATGATATTGTAATCTGATATCAAGATGTAAAATAATCCAAATATATAAAATAATCCAAAACTTCCATGAAATTAAGTTTTATGTACTATATGAATTTATTATGATATATAGGAACATATTTTATTAATATTTACCATTACCGAAATAACTAATATAAAAATATACAAGAAAATAGTTAACATAGAATCTACTAGTCATATCCATACCAATCCAGCTACCAAATAAAATGGCGGACTCGGTCAACTTGACCCTAATATACTGTGTGGCAAGCAGCCAGAATCTGGCCGATTGTTTATTGTGTTTCTAATTTTGATATTTTGTGAAATATAGTGAAAGATAGACACACTGAACACATAAAATGTATGTAATTATTATTATAAATTAATTAGCTAAAGGTATTTGCTGTGAATAATGTATTTTGCATCAACAACAGAGGTAAGTATATGGTGAGAAAGTACAACAGCCGTTTACGTTAGAAGTAAAAAAATTAAATTTTTGATTAAAAAGTACACAAATCCCTAATTTATTAATTAATAAATGTTGGTAGCTTACCTTTCCATGTTAAAACAGCACCAAACTTCACTATTCACTCGATATAGGTATAAAAAAGGCACTATAACAGCGACGGGTGACCACACGAAAGCGAAATTCAAAAACGACTGCGTCACAGGCTGTTTATTCAAAACCTCTAAACAATAGAGTACCTTAGTAGCATTGTATTGCGTACTCTTTCTTCGGTCTGGAATATTCTATAAGTTTATGTGTGTTAGCAATCATTGTCGCCGGTCATTTTACCCGCCAAATACCCAACCGCGGATCGGCCAGAATCTGGTCGCTTGGCAGACGCGCGTAATTAACCATCGGCCAGATTCTGGCCGATCGCCACACAAGGGGTTAGGAATCTCCCCACATCACTTCATTCCGAAACTATTCGGACTACATATTTGAAACTTAGTAGGTAGATGTATTCTGTGAATTTCGTTTCTATACAAAAATAAAATACAAAAAAAAATTATAAGTACAAAAAACAACAAAAAATGTACAAATAAAAAAACTAAATAAAAATTGATCAAACGAAAACAAAAAGTCTGAATGGGGATTCGAACCCGAACCTTTCTTCAGCGTAGACTTCATAGGCCGACACTATAACCGCTCGGCTACATGAACATCGTTTTCCTCTGTGACAATTGTTGGAGTCCTTTAAAAGTGACTTAATAAACGTAGACCTCGGTTGTGCGCGTAACCCAAGGAACACTATCATCTTGATATAGTATAATAAAAAAATAATTTATGTACCAATAAAATGAAATAAATATAATACCCAAGTAAATGGGGGGCCCATATGTATGTATAAAGTACCCACGTGATAAATATCACGAAATAAAATATGAATGAAGTGAATGAATACTCCGATTCCCAGCATCTAATAAAGCTAGCTATAGGTCAAAAATATTAAAATGAAAGAAAAGAAAGTACCTACAAATATTATGGAAAAAAGGCCTAATAATCGACTAAAATGAGACGATAAGGGGATCCCCAAAACATTTCCATCCCCAAAACATCCTGATCCCCAACCAATCCAACCATCCCCGACCAAATCCAAAAGGATAATAAATGTAATATAATCTAAAAGTGAGATAGGTAGTTACTTTGTATTTTTATATAAGAGCTATTAATGCTACCCAAAATGGTACGAATAAGTTGCACACGTAATAACTATTGGGATCGATTGACACAACTACACGTAAATAAACATAATTATCTATTACCTCCAATGCAGTGGGAAGTGACTGTGCCAGTCGTATTATGATTCTTCCTATACTTGACATTATTCCTCCTATTATTTATCATATTCTTAACTTCTCCATCTCTACAAATAGTTTTCCATCTTCTAATCTTCATTCAGAAAGTCCTTGAATGCCTTTTTTACACCCAATTCAACAGTATTTCTTTGTGCTAATTCTCTCCTTAATCCTTTACAATCGGGATTTCGACCTGGACATAGTACTACCACAGCATTGGTGAATATTACTGATGATATCCGTTTAGGAATTGAACACGGTGAAGTAACTCATCATCATCATGATTACAGCCCTTTACAAGTCCGCTGCTGAACACAGGCCTCCCCCAAGGTATGCCACAAAGCACGGTCCTGAGCCACCTGCATCCATCGACTTCCTGAATGTCTTATCAGGTCGCCACTTCATCTAGTGGGGGGTCGCCCTACACTTCGTCTACCGGTACGAGGCTGCCACTCGAGAACCTTTTTTTTTTTGAGAGACCGTTTCCACGAGCTTGTCATTCATATCGTCTACTGCATTGCAATCTTCTAGGCACTGAAAGCGGTTACGTAACTCGAGCTGAAAGGTTTCGGGATTCTGGATTAGAGCACGAGGGGGACGGAGCGTTGACTTCATTAGACGAGACCTCTCCAACTTAACGTTTAGGTTCAGTGTGCCTCTAACCATTCGGTGATCGCTGCCAGTTTGCGATCATTGAGACATCACTGAACAGTTGGCGTCTGGTCGTCATAATGAAGTCAATCTCATTTTTTGTCGAACCGTCGGGGCTCGATCGGGTCCACTTCCTGTGGGCCGCTTCTGGAAGAAAGAGTTCATCGTAAATAGTCCCTCTTTCTCCATGAAGTCGGCCAGGTGCTGGCCCCTACGGTTCCGTTGCCCTACTCCAAATTTCCCTAACTTCAGCTCACCGCTTTCTCTTGTGCCTAGTTTTGCGTTGAAGTCTCCCATCAACACCGTGTAGTGGGTTTTGGAGGAATGCATGGCTCTAGAAATATCCTCATACATTTCCGCCACCTCCTCATCGGGATGTGCCGAGGTTGGTGCGTAAACCTGTATGACCTTCAAAGAATACCGTTTGGTGATTCTGAGTATCAGGTACGCGACCCTCATCGACACACTCCCAATCTTTACAACGTTGTTGACGAGAGACTTGTGAACGATAAATCCGACACCTCCT